CATCGGCAAGTGTTGATGTTAAAACTTGGAAAATTTCATGAGCATCCTGAAAGTAAAGAATTAGAATAGAGGTGACATTATTGCAGCTGCAAAAATCCATCAGAAACATAAATGAAATGCATTGAACAGTTTACTAGTATGATTGAATGGGTACCTGTTGTTCCAGTGAGATAACCCAGCCATGGGAATAAAGTGTTTGAAATACCACGGTAGGATCATACGATTCCTGTCCATAACAAGGCTGACTCAGAACTAAAAAGATAGTGGTATGTTTACTATTTATTAGCAATCTACAATAAGTTCCTATAGTTTGTGTCAATAATACCTGAACAAATATGAGCAATTTATGTTTTAGGCTGTCACGGTAACAAAGGGCCAATGAAAATAAGGGCAGATTTTCATTTATTTAAAAGGAGGGGTAGAAAAATTTCTGGTGGGGTGCAAGCTTCACCACTCATCAAGCTTCAGCAGAAGTTAGGCATTTGGGTTAAAGCCTTTCACACAAAATAGGAGGGATGAAGCAAAATTTTGATGGGGTTGAACACATTAGAGAAATTGTAGGGGGGGGGGGGTAACCCCCCTCCCCCTAACTCCCCAGTAAAACCGCCCATGGGACAAAATGTTGGAGTGCTGTTATTCATTTTCAGATAGTTCAGACACAAACCACATTTGAGTTACAAGACAGCTAAAGGTTGGTTGTTGACACAATCAACAATAGGCAATCTGATTAACCCATTGAGCAGTAGGACTCTCTCCTCAAATTGACAAGTAAAATCGCCTGGTGTGACACAGAATAAAGTATCCGGCATTAGACAGTCGCAGAGTAAAATAATAAAGTAGGGTACATTATTAACAGACCTCTCAACTCTCACGCATTCGGCCTGAGTCTCACGCAATTCGCTTCACTCTCACGCCTAGCAAATATATTCATCAAAATTCTAACAATACTTTTTGAGGTTATGTCTCAGGTAATGGCCATGTCTAGCAAATATATTCATCAAATTCTAACAATACTTTTTGAGGTTATGTCTCGGGTAATGGCCACTTCAGGAAAAGAAGAGTAATAGTCGATATAGGTTACTAAGGCCCGGTTTAGACGGCGAACTTCTCATGCGCCAAATCTAATGCAAGAATTAAGTGCGACGCTGGAGCGGCGCCTAAATCAATTAAGTTCGACAGGTTTTGATTAAGTTCGACATGACTCGAAGATGCGACAAGACAAGTCGTATATGCGACACAGGTTCGACATTGATTTAGACGCCGTGCTTTTCATGCGCCGAACCTAATGCATAATTATTTTTTAACATCATAATATGATTATCATATATTTGCATTGTAAATATTTCCAATATAATGTCTTCGCAATTTGGTACAGGTGCAATTAAGTTCGACGTCTAAATCAGTTTCCGATATTTTGCCATATCTACGACAATTAGATTCGGCGCATGAGAAGTTCGCCGTCTAAACCGGGCCTAAGTACTTATCTATCGGACCTACGATATCAACTGCACCTTTTAACCACGGCGCTTTGGGTAACTGCACTGGCTGCAAGGGTGTATTATTATTTAACAGCCTACTTGCAGCGCATGCTGGGCAGTCTTTAATCATAGATTCGATATCCCTATCCATACCTATCCAAAAAAATTTTGACCTTAACAACTGCTTAGTTCGCACTATACCAACATGACTTTCATGAGCAAGTTTCAAAATCCGCTTCTTAAGAGAAATTGGAACGACAATACGATTTCCGCGCAATAAAATACCTTTGAAAACCGAAAACTCTTCCCGAAACTTTTCAAAAGGTTTAATATCAGCATCAGCTGGCCATGCACCCACGTGAACCAAATTCATAATTTTAGTCAAAATTTTATCTTTTGTCGTTTCCTCTTTCACCTCTGATAACGACAACGCACAATTGTCAGGCACATCATTTTCAACCACAAATTTGACACACTCATCCGCAACATTACCCGAACTAGTTTCATCTAATTCATTTAAAGGCAACCTTGAGAAAGAGTCGGCAATATTCATTTTACCTTCAATATGTTTTATCTTATACTTATATTGATGCAACCTCCACGCCAAACGTTGAACCCGTGGGGGCAACATCTTTTTACAATCTAAGGAAAGCAAACTGACTAATAGTTTGTTGTCAGTGAGCAATGTAAATTCAGTACCAAAAACATAATTATGAAATCTTTCAGCCGCCCAAACACATGCCAGTGCCTCGCGTTCAATCTGCGAATATCGTGCTTCAGTAGGTGTCAGAGATCGACTTATATATGCGACAGGCTTTAGCTCACCTGTTGTTTGCTCCTGTAACAGAACCCCACCTAGTCCTACTGGACTAGCATCTGTCACAAGAACAGTGGGACCATCTAACTTAAAACAAGCCAACACTGGTTCGTTAGAAAGTGCACGTTTCAACTCCTCAAACGACTCTACTTGCTCACTATCCCATGTCCAGTTAGTGCCTTGCCTTGTCAGCCGCCTAAGGCGTTCAACCAGCTCGGCGTAATTCGGTATAAACTTCGATACATATACCCACAAACGCCTAAAAATGATCTCAATTCTGCAACGTTGGCAGGGCCTCTTGAATTGCTTTTGTTTTCACCGGGTCTGGTTGAATACCCTTGGCTGACACGACATGACCCAACACCGGTATTTGGGTAAGTCCAAACTCGCACTTTTTAGGGTTTAACTTTAAGTTACGTTCCCTACACCTTTCAAATACCTCATGCAGCCTACTTATTAATTGATCTATCGTTACTGCATGAACGATGAC